TGCATTTATACATTTGCAGTTAGTGAGACTATGCTTGTATTTCCTTCATAGAGTCAGAGAATGCTGGTTCTTCAGAGCATTCCATGCAGTCCTCTACCTACTATTTGTGGCCTGATAATTAAAGCAGTGTAGAGTATGGGTCCTGTGGTCATCATTATGTTTTGAACTCTGGCAGGAGGACAGACATTTTTCTTTATTCCCTCTGCTTTGGTTCTTTGGTTCCCCTGTCTGTGACATGGCAGTGGTGTTAACTTCTGTACTTCCTGAGCAGATTAGCCATGCATTAGTTCTCAGGGACAGGGCAGGTACGATACTGCAGTGAATTCTGACCATCAGGGTTCCATGCATATTCCGAAGAGTTGAATAAGCTTCTAAAATTGCTGGCAAAAGTACTCTGAGTTTTAGTAAGGTTTCAGGTCTTCCTCGTTGGTGCTGAGAGATGGGTTATTTGGAAGAGCAGTTCTCAAATCTAAATCAAAGCCATACCAGAATTCCTGCAGTATGTTGACACCTGGAAAGGATGTGGATAAGTGAAAGAGTGTAAATGAATATAAATCTTTAAGTAGAGCTGACAGTTGGTCAGTACTGAGTCGTTGTGCTTATTTAATGTGTTCCTGGTATTCATGCAGCTATAGAAAATTGGCAGCTGAAATTCACGGAAACAATAACTGCATGTGCCCTCAGTCTTGGGAGAATCCACGTTAATACGCAACTTTATCTAGAGGAGTTCTCCCAGCTATCTGTCTGCAGACGAGTATGTATTGTAGTCTCTGGCTGGAAGGAAGTTTATATGAGAAGACTTTTTCTAATGGGTTAGGCATGTGCTGAGACCATGGATCTGCACTTTCAGTCTATTTTAGCACGAATTAGTCATGACCTCAGTCAGTTTGATCCCTAGCTTAATCTGTCTGTATAGATATCTCTGTATAATGTGCTGTATATTTACCTATTGTAGAGTGAGAGAAGGCATGAGAACTGTTTTTTTTTTTTCATGATACCAAAGCAGTATTACATGACACAGGCTATAGCAGTTCATAACACAGCACCTAGTTGTCTAAACACTCTGTTGGTTTCTGGAACGCCCTTTTTTTGTGGCAGTTGTTCTTTCACAAAGCCTTCTGAACTCTAGCATCTGCTTATACCCTTTTCTTAATGTCTTATGTGGCTGCTTTTGGTGATGTGGACCTGCTAGGTTGGAGTCAGCAGTAGATAGAGAGGATGGGATTGACTGATATATTCCTGCCTTTGTTCCCTCTGCTGGCTCTGGAAAGGTAGTGTTACCTGAGTGCAAATTAGACTTTGGGGATGGTGATGAAAGGCACTTCTTTGGTTATCTGTAATTGTTATAGTCTGCATCTACACAGCCCATGCTTTTGAACAGTGTCTTAATTTTGATTTACAGAATTTCAGAATTGGCATTTTAGCGTAGCCCCTTTTTTGTCACTTCCGCCTACCACCCTACTGTGGCCTCTCCCCAAATTACTGCTGATCTTCTAGCAGAAGCTAGCAAACATGTAATCCCTTTGCCCAGGGAAAAATAGGTGAGACTCAAAATTGCATTTGATCTTGAATTTTTGGCAAACAAGTTATTCTTTATTTCTCTTTGAGAGATCATTTCTTCAACATGACATGATCTCCTTCCTCATCAATAATCACTAAAAAAAGTTAAAGCAGCTGACCCCATTAAGCATTTGATTTCATATCCTGTGTTGTGTAATTCTTTCCTTCTAATAAGGTATATTAGTGTACATATTTCTCTTCAGAGTGTGTTCTTTCAGTGTTAAGAAACAAATTTTAAGATGAGACTAGGTCAATATTTTCATAAACCAGGCAGCTTTTTAGTAAATTCCATGCTATCAGGTGGGAGTTTGACAAGTAAATTGTAATTATGGTTCATCAAGAGAAGGAGTATCCATGACAATTTTTGGCAACCAATGTGGGTTTGAGCTCATGATTTGAAACCACAAGTTGCTTTTTAACATGCATTTCTGTTGTGATGTGCATAGTTGAGTTATGGTTATGGGTAACATGGGATTAGGCAAAGCAAAGTACTAACACTGGCTAAAGAAAGATTTTTCTTCAGGAGATACTTAAATTTAGGCATGTTGTTATTTTTTTTTTATTTGCAGATGAGACAGTGGAATAGATGTTTTCTTTTTATAGTTTTTAAATTGTGCAATTGTTGACTCTTTCAAGAATATTCACACTGAGTATAGCCTCTTGACAGGATTGCGAAGAGCAAGAGGGTGTTAGACCTGAAAATGTCATGGAAGGTTTATTTGGCACAAGATATAATTGCAAAATAATAAGAGATACTTAGCAGATCTCTACCTTTTGTCTTGTTACTTGCTTACAGATGTAACTGGTTTTTGATATTCTATACAACTTTTTGCTGATGTGTGCCCTTCCTCATTCTCCCTCTTGCCAGTTAGAGTTACCCTAGAAAATTTCTGATTCTAGTTTCCAGCTCCAATGAATTTGAAATGGTGTAAGCTTGGAAGAGACTTCTGCTTTTGGAAGTCAAGCTTCCTTGAAGGTGAATCATAGATCTTAATGTAATTCTCTTTTGCATAGATTGTGTCATCAGTGTTTTTGTTTTCTTCTTATTTTCTCTCACCACTGTTGTGGTAGAAAAGAATGGGTATAGCCTGATGAATTAGACAGTTTAGATCAATCTCTTTTGGAAAAAAAAACCCTATACATCTGTAGTACTTGGACCTTACAGTTTACTGTGGGTGCTTACTATTTTGGTGTTTGTGTTGGGTGACTTTCAGAAAAGTTTATTGAGGTAAAATCGCTGACCTTTGGAGAGCAGGCAGGAAGAAGAGGAAATGGAATTGGGAATTGAATTGATTACGTTTTTAACTTTTTAATGAACTTTACATTTTCAAACTCTTTCTCTCCCCCTCTTTGTGCTTTTCCTTTTATTTCACAGGTGCGCATATAACTCGCAGGCTATGTTTACTAAATTCCTGTCGTATTAATTTTAATTTAGCATTTTGGTTTGTTGGCCAGAACTTATGCTAACAGTGTAAACAAAATACAACAAGGTTTTTAAGCATTTACTGGAATGTTTTCAAAATTGATAGTAGTTCTTTGGCTATGCTGCATCTGTAAAGGACAAAGGACCTTCACTATAGTTTTTATTAAAAGGTTGTTTCTAATCATGAAGCTTAAAAGTAGCTGCTGCATTACAGGTAGTTATGGTTAATTCTGTTTCAGTGTGCAGGAAAGGGTATGCCTTGGTTGTTGAAGTGACAGAGGCTAAGCAATATCAGAAGAGGTAAAATTTTAGGATTGTTTCCATTGCTGAGGAGTTTGTATTGAAGTACAGTATATAAGACAAAGAACTTTTTGTCTGATGCAGAAAAAGACATTAATTAGAAATAAGAACCAATCTTTGCATGTGTTAGTCACATACATGTACAGCTGTGGCTTTAGAAGAATAGGTGAGGTAAGTATGGTGAACTTTCCAGCCCTTATCTAGTATTTGCCAAACTTCTGATACCTGAGGCATACCTTTATGGGTTAAAATTTGTAGCAGCACCACAGATGTGAGTCGAGCAACAGTCTTCCTGTACGTGTTGGGACAGCAACAGTGCACCCTATCCCTGGGCTTTTCAGTGCCTCTTATTTTTGCCAAGTTAAGATGTATGGGCAGAAGGTAAAGACTTCTGTGACATGCTTCTGGCATGTTAGGGTTTTTTTTTCTTTTTTGCTACACATTCAAAGTATTTAATTTTTCAATTAATAATTAAAAAGCTACAATCTACAAAATAAATGGCTGTTTATTACAGGCTGGATCGATGGGCTGTGGCTAGTGGTATGAGGTTCAACAAGGCAAAGTGCCAGGTCCTGCATTTGTGCCACAACCCCATGCAATGCTCCAGGCTGGGGAAAAGTGGCTGGAAAGCTGCTCATGGAAAAGGACCTGGGGGTGCTGATTGGTGCGTGCTGAGCACGAGCCAGCTTGTGCCCAGGCAGCCAAGAAGAACAATGGCATCCTGGCCTGCATCAGAAATGGTGTAGTCAGCAGGGCCAGGGAAGTGATCATCCCCTGTACTTGGCACTGGTGAGGCCACACCTCCAATACTCTGTTCAGTTCTGGACCCCTCACTACAACGTCTATAAAAGAAAGACACTGAGGTGCTGGGTTAGGTCTAGAGAAGGGCAATGAAGCTGGTGAAGGATCTGGAGAATAAGTCTTAAGGAGCAGCTGAGGGACCTGGTGTTGTTTACTCTGAGAAAGCTAGGGGGGGACCTTATTGCTCTCTACAACTACCAGAAAGGAGGTGGTAGTGAGGTGGGGGTTGGTCTCTTCTCCCAAGTAACAAGTGATAGGACAAGAGGAAATGGCCTCAAGCTGCACTAGGGGACGTTTAGATTGGATATTAGGAAAAAAATCTTCACAGAGAGGGTAATCGGGTATGGCAACAGGGAGGTGGTGGAATCACCATCCCTGGAAGTGTTCAAAAACTGTATAGATGAGGCTATCAACAATATGGTTTAGTGATGGTCTTGGCAGTGGAGGAGTAATGGTTGGCCTTGATGATCTTAAAGGTCTTTTCCAGCCTAGTTGATTCTGTGTTTCTATGATTTTACCTTCAGAAATAAAAGCAGATAGCAATGCTTACAGTGTAAAGGGCATATTTTCGTCCAAATCAGTAGAATGACTGTGGTGATTGCTATTTAAAACCAAAGAAACAGTAAGTGTTCTCTTGTTGGGTAATGATGATGAAATTAGGTTTGTGCTCATTTTGAAATGTTCTTTCTCTGCTTTTTTTTTTTATATGTTAGCTTTTTTTTTTTTCTGTTCTAGGTAAGCAGTGTTAAACAGTTCTATGTATATAGACTGTTGGTTGATGGTGGAGGGCACTGAATTCATACTAACTTTATAGATCTCTTATTCTTCATACATTGTGACATGGATTGTAGCGTGTAGCTTAGAAACTAAATTACTGCAATTTAATGTGATGAGTTTACCCTCCTCTTCTTTGTAGCACAATGGCTGACAATAAAGCGAAGTCGACCAAACCTGTGAATAAGACTCCTCCAAAGTCTCCTTCAGATCCAGCAAAGGACCGAGCAGCAAAACGATTATCCTATGATTCAAACAGCTCCCATGAGGGAGCCATAGCAGGAGAATTAAGTGCTTTGGAAGAGGCCTTTAGAAAATTTGCTATCCATGGTGATACAAGAGCCACAGGAAAAGAAATGCATGGGAAGAACTGGTCAAAGCTATGTAAAGACTGTCATGTGATAGATGGGAAGAACGTGACAATCACAGATGTTGACATTGTCTTCAGTAAGATCAAGTAAGTTCATTTCTGCCAATGTTTCCTTGTCTCCCAAAGTGTTTTGTAAATATCATAAATATGTTGCTTACAGATGTTGAGACACTATTTGTCTTTGTCACAATCGACCTCTTTCTTGTTCCTTTATCCAACTCTGTTGTTTTGTCTGAGGTAAAGCTTTCAGCTTCTGTTCTTCTATCTTAAACTGACTTCAGTGTCACGGATGTTGCACTGTACAAAGATGTATGGTATGAACAAGACAAATGCAGGTTATTCCAAGAAACATTTTTTTTTTTACCACAGTAAATGATGTGAATGTTTCCTGAAGGATATCTGAATGAAGTCAGGATGTAGTTTTATATCTTGCCAAAACTCAACCTCATAGGCTAAGGTGGGATATTGCTAAAAGCCATTATTCTAACAACAGTCTTGATGTCTAGCACAGTATCTGCTCAAGCTTAAAGTGTATGGCCACATCAAACTGATGGTTATGATTAACTGGTTAGGATTATTGCAGCGATCCTAGTTTATGCTTGTAAGCAGATTAGAGCTTTAGTGAAATTTCCTCCAGAAATTGAAAACCTAGGCAAGCTTGATCCAGAAACTTGTCAAATCCAAGGGAAGACATTCAACTGTTCTGACATATTCTGTATGAAACTCCAGATAATTTATTGTTCTTGCTTTATGTGTAGAATTGGATTATTTTCACCTTCCCTGTTCCCCTGGTACATGATCTGATAGCCTTGTTTATTATGGTTTTTTATTACCACAGTAACTGTTTAAATTGTCTCACACCTCCGTGTGTTGAGGGACATGTTTGACAAGGGCCCCTTAATTGTACTTGTAGCTTGTAGGAACATTTATTTGGCTTGTGCTTCCAGCTACTGTGGTATAATGCTGGGAAGAACATGCAAACTGAGTGGCTTACAAGGGTAGTTGGAAAAACTTCCTACAAGCACTGATCCTGTGGAGTGCATCAAAGCATAGGAAGGCAGAGAAGGCCCTTGATCTTGAAAGGTTGTCTAGTGTTAACATGCATAGTTAAAATGACATTACTTGTTTGATTTCTTTCTTTCTTTTCTCCTCGGGGATCTTACCTAGACAACTGAGAGCACCATATATGCATGTTTCAAACCTTTTGTTCTTGTATCAGTCCACTTTCTCTTTGAGTCCCTAGCTGTATTTTTTGGAAGTTGTGTTGCCAGAGTTAGGTACACTATCAGTGAACTAGCTTATTGAAATGGGTGTTTATGCTGTACGGTTGTTTATTTCTTGTTATGATAGACAGTGCTGGCATTTAATTTCAACTTTTATTTGGGTTTCATCATCTTAAATTTCTCTGTATCTGTCATCATAGGAGATAATCAGTCTTAGCCCTACTTTCTCATTACAGTATATAGGCAAGTTAGTGATAGGACAACCCAATGATACAGCATAAACAATTGTGCAACATTAGCAGATATAAAGTATCAGTTTTGGTGCCTGCTGAGGTGGAAGAAATTTGGACCTATTCTACAGGAATAAGTTGTGAGATGGTGAGCACCTGAAGCTCAGAGATACGTCAGCATATCCTCTTGCGATTGTTCAGCAGTGTCAGCTCAGCTCTCTGTGGGGAGGTGCCTGTTCAAGTTTCTCAGACATTCCTCCCATTACCACTGAGAAATGTTGTCATTCCTCTTGGAAGAAGCGCACCATAGAATCATAGAATAGTTGACATTGGACAGGACCTTAAGATCATCTAGTTCCCACCCCCCTGCCATGGGCAGGGACATCTCACTAAACCATGTCACCCAAGGCTCTGTCCAGCCTGGCCTTGAACACCATCTTTTCCTCTCTCTAGTATTTCATATTTCAGAAGATATCTGTATCAAATGCAAAATTATTTTATCTTGTTTATTAATTACTTGCTTGTTCCTCACCTGCACATGTACATATAACATGCATTTTATAAACTCTTCTCTTTTAAAACTATTTTATTTTTAAATTAATATTGCTTAAGTGCCAGATGGGGATGAGTTTTCCTGTCTTTACTAGGAAGGTCTGTTTTTTCATGCACATGTTTTCGATAGGTATACTTCCACATTTTCTTAAGTATGGGGTGTTGTTTGGGGTTTTTTATATACATTTTTATTCTTGAGAGCATATGTCAGCAATTCTTTTTAGTCTGGATCCCATTTATTCACATATAGTATTTTAAATATTAACAAGGGAAGATATAATGGCTGCAGTTACTCAACCGTTAGTAATATGTTCTAACTTAGGAGGCTTATGCATAGGCTGAGTATACAGGGTTTCTTGAGCATGTTTACACAACTGCTTTTCCTTGCTTTCTCTTTTGCCTCACATTTAACCCTAAACTAGAGGATAATAATAGATTTGATAATGCATCAAAATAGGCATACTCACAAAATAAGCCCCTACTCATTTCCATTTTACCAGCAGCTTTTTCCCAGCAGAGCACTAACATTTTTTGACAACCCAAATTTTTCCCCTTCTATGTTGAATTAAAAACATTAAACACTATAAAAGAAACTCTTGCTCCCCAGAAAGTGCAGAGTACTGCTTCCATGCCTCAGTAGTTGAGTTATGCTTATGAGTATCAGAAGGCTCTGTACTTCGCTGTTGTTTTTAGGTTTTTCAGCTAGACTGTTTCAAAAGATGGACTTTGGCCTGGGATTCTTGTGGTCAGCCGTAGTGGTTCAGCGGGATGGGGTTGGTGGGTCTTGGCACTTGTAGTCTGGCCATGGAACACATGAAAAGATAAGAAAAAATGTTCATCATATCCAGCTGCACCTGCCATCTAGCATTGTGAAACTTTCAAACAGGTTTTCTGTTGGCTATATTACTGGGGAGCCATTGTGTTTAGCAAGGTTTGTTTTCTAGCCAGCTATACTTATAGTTTATGACAACAGCACATGTTGTTAAGACACTAGAAAATAATTAATCCAGCAGAATTGTTCTTTGGTTTTATGAATTACTATGTATAAAGCCCATGTTTGTCATCCTGCTAACTTTCCCAGGCTTCATTTATTGTTCTGCTACACATACTAGCAAAATAGATAGGAACTGTGTGTTGCTAATAGGGTAACAGGGAAATTAGTAACAGATATGTTTACCTAAGAGCTCCTGAAAGATAGGGTTTTATTCTGTGATTGGTAGCTTTCTCTACCGCAGGAAAGATTTTATCAGTTCAATCCTGAGAAGTAATGAAGACTCTCTTACCCACCTCTACCAAACCAAGTGAACAAAACTCCTGAAAGTCTTGAATAGTCCGTAATACTTCTTCAAAGCTGGGACTATGTGTCTGTCTTTCAGAGATTAGTTCATTTGAGATTAAGTTTATGTTGTTATAAAGGTACATTTTATCTAGGTGTTCCTGCTCCGGCAGGGGGATTGGACTAGATGATCTTTTGAGGTCCCTTCCAATCTGTAGCATACTCTGATACTGTAATAAAGACATCTCACATGATACTATCTTTCTATGCATGTTGCATCTGGAAAAGCAGAAGGAATTGTGAAAAGTGATCACAAAGCTTTAAAATATCTATGGGATGAAATTATTAAAAATGCAGCAAAACTAACAAAAGTGTGTATATGTATAAATACAATTATGTAGTAAGCTTTCCTTGCTGTATTTTATACTTCCACAGTCAAAACTTTGGGCTCTTTTCTTCATATGTTCTTTGGACTGCATACAACAGTAACACTGTGGTTGGACAGTGGGGTCTACTGAATTTAGAGACATACAACGTGCAGACATGCAATAGCATTTGAAAATGGAGGCATTTTATGAGAATGGGAATTCCATGAGTATCTTTTTAGTAGCTGAAACAATTACTTGCCTTGCAAATTTTCCTCATGAACTATTTCTTTTATGTTACTCTTCCAGAGCTGCAAAAGTCTGTAGGCTGTGTATCTTGTGTTATGCTTGCAGAGTGCAAATATAGATTTAGTGAATCTTGTTGCCTTGGAGAAAGCAAGCTCATTGGTGACACAGGAGAAGGGCTCAGAAGTGTTCTGTATTTGATATGAAAAGCAACACGTGGCTGCATTCTTCTTAATTCAGCAAGACAGTGAGACACAACAGCATCAGAACTTCAGAGTTTTCGTATTAAGGAAAGCAGAATACCCAAGAAGAATAGATGTTACTGATCTCTGAGCAGCATTCCGGCATGTTGCCTTAGGAACTTAAATTTCTTTGTTTACGGGGGTCAACAACTGCTCTGGGAAATTTGATATGTTAGCTATGCCATACGCATACTCCACTTGTTGTATGTAGTTAATATGGTAATAGTAATAGCTCTGATATAAATACTTCTGATCTTATTTTAGAAGTGTTACCACTCAGCACTGCAAGAATATGGCATAAGCACTGCCATAAAACTGCTAATTCTATGACATTATTAGATAGAAAAATAAAAATATTTCTGTTTACACTGGCATGTTACTATGGTTGCAGGCAGGCTTGGGTGACGTCATGCCTTGGATCCATTGTGAGCATTTATTTAGGTAGTTGTCTCCATGGAAACATTTGTTTGTTTTGATGTTACTATGTGTTAAATTTTAAACAAATTTTTGTGGTTCTATACTGGATTGTTATTGAGGACTAGTTAATCTACAGAAGCTTTGTAAATATACCTTACTCCCTGCCCTCTAAAATATTTTTGGTAAAAGATCAAGTGAAAGCATAATTGTCCTCTCAAATTCCAGTAATAGTTTCTTATGTTGCTTTGACATGTTTTCTTGTTGCTGAGGAAGCCATGTGTTCTAAAGGCCAGAAACTCTCCTCCATCTTTCTGAGAAAGAAAGGTTTTGTTCCCATGGAGAATCTTCACAACACACTTTATTGTGCCCTGACTTTTGAGCAGTCCCACCCATACTCTATCCTTAGTATATATTGCACAGTCAGCTGTTTAGCCTAGTTCCCACAGTTAAGATCAGTCAGGTCTCTACAGGAGTGCTTCCACCTGAGATCAGCTGGATTTTAATTCAGCAGTAGTTCACCAAGACTGTGAAAGAAT